TCAACATTCTTGAGCAAGAAGGGCAGAGCCACAGTGCGCCATAAGCGAGAGACGCATCCGGCGTTGACGAGCGTTGTAGTGTCGCCTAATAATGCGTCAAAGACTTGCAGTAGGATATCTGCTGGGAGTGCGAGGTCATTACCCATGCTGGAGATTGAGCTGAAGTGATGGTGGTGAGGTTACTGAACACATACGCTGACTCGGTTCCATGCTAGGGAGGTAGTTTCTAACCCCCGTCACAACTACAGCCGTTAGGTCAGCAACCTATATATAGCACATAGACAATTTGTCTTGAATTACGCTGGAATAAAGACATTCGAACTTGATTAGATCTTTCGCCATAAGTAGACATGTTGTTTTGTTATTCTAGTCGAAGCTAAATCAATATCACAGATACCACATCTGATGGACAATGCAGAGCTTGCCAGCAAGTAGGAGACAGCAAGTGAATTGTTTTACCGTGCTATAATGATTTTTTTTTAAACAACATGCACTTGGGAGTGACCTGCAATATCTTGCTTTCATCCTGGCGAAATGACGGAATTTAGTTGAAATAACGGCACCGTACCCTCACAATCCTGGTCCTAGTCGTCTGGTGCGAGTCAGAGAAAGTAAAGATCATGACTTTTGAGTGCAAATTACAGTAGAAAATTTATTCGTAAAGTCTATCCGCCCAATAATATTTAATTCGTAGCCGAAATGCATCGCTGAAAACCAATTTCGCCAATACCCTAAGAGGAATTCCCGCCTCGATGCAATATTTATTCTCCCCACACTTACACATTCTGCAGGGAACGGTCGCTCTTGCTCTCCAACTGCGTCGTACCTCGGTCGGGTGGCATGGAGAAACCGACAGAAAGATAGATAATGACGGCAATGTACTCGACAAGCAAAGCCATCATCGCAAAGGCAACGGCAGAGCCATAGAGAGGGTTCCACGTTGTGCCCCGGTCAAACTCAAAGGTCACCTGGAGAATTCCGTAGACACAGCGAACGACCAAGAACGGGCCAGAAGCAAGAGCTCCCAAGATGACCTGCCATTACGAGCATCAGTGATTTGTACTTGACCAAGCAAGGAACATCGGAAGGAAATCGAAAACATACCCTGCGGCTGGTGGGAATCAAGGACTGCTTCATGCTCCAGAAGCGGATGTGGGCGGCGATGAGGAACGCAATGACCGCAGCGAAGATGGCATATCCAACAAGCTGTAGAATCCGACCCAGGTCACGAGTGGATTGAGATGGCTGGCTGATGAGACTTCCACCCACTGTAAGGAGGATTGCAGCAAGGAGAATAGAGATTCGGAGTGCGCGAGTGGCCTGGTCGATCCTCTTTGAAGGGGGGAAGTTGTCCATGAGACTGATACCGGAAACAATTAGTCAGGAGAGCCGCCAGGCCTAGGTCTCTGTGAACTTACACGATTCTGAAGAAACCGGACATAGCGACGATAAGGGGAACGGCGCCGACGTTAAGCAAGACGATTGCGGCAATAATGAGTCCAACATTCGACTGGTCCTTTTCAAGCGCGATAACAATAGGTCCTCCAGCAACTCTCACTGTACAAGGATCAAAACGTCAGCGGCTGAAATGAAGTAGGAAATATAGTATCGAGGTGAACATACTCAAGCTGAAGGGCACCATGGGCCACCAAGCCATGCGCGGTCTGTTCGACCAGTTGCGCACGATGAGCCATATTGAGAGGACGGCGATTGGAACGTAGAAGATGATTTGCGCGATGCTCAATGCAGTATGCGGATTCATTTTGGTGTAGGTGATGGTTTGCGTGTGGTAGGTTTTGTGAATTGTAGCGATAAGAATTAGATGATGGCGTTCCAATGAGGAAGACTTGGAAATGGACTGTATGGTTTGAATTGCTAAGTCGAGGTAAGGGAGATACTAGGTATTAAATATATTTTGATTCTCTTCATTAAAGGTGCTCCCTACGTACGTTTTTATGAGATATCTAGGCGCAGCCCTACGATCTTCGGTCCGGATTTACGAAAATGGAATGCCATTCGAATGAAGGCGCAGCGGGAAAACGCCCAGATCCATCTTTCCCAGCGCTAAAACAGATTTGGGTGAGATGCCACGAGCTGAGGTGCTGAGTAACGGTTGGGGCTGCCGAAGCCTAAGCGTAGAATGCCAGATACACTCCACCTGTTCTTGGTCTTAGCCTTTCTTGGGTATTATGTCACGAAGCTGGTGGGTGTAGGGCAAAGGGTCCTTTCCCGGACAGCTTTCGGTTCTTTGGTGACGAGGGTGGCTTGGGAACAGCCCGTGTTGAAAAGCTCGAATGGATGTCCCAGCTAAGCTAGCAGACCGGGTCCCGGCACAAGAAATGGGGAAGTTTCAACGGGCCTTGTTGTTCCATGAGAAACTAGACTACATCTGGCCTTATTCCACGAGTTTGGTGGCCCACTCAGACTCGTTGAAGCCGTTGCCGCTTAACCGAGCCTTCACGAATTACCGTTTGTCTCTCGATGCTATGCGAATGCGATCTAAGCCTCCTAGATTTCCACAAAGAAAAACTGCCTTGCGAAACTCAGTTTATGTAAAGTGATGCCAGTGGTTCCCCCAATCAAAGCCCTCTCCCTGTTTGAGTAAACCCTTACCAACTGGGAACTCTGCAACTTGCTCTTGATTCTCAAATTCCGCAATGTATGCCATTGGGCATTCCGTATACCACATCTGCGGCTGCGTGCTATAGAAGACGTCAAAACTTGGGCTTAAGGCTTCTTTTAAGCTTGAGACGTCTCTCTTGGGATGTAGGCTCTCGTATGGGTGGGTACAAGCCCGACCCTTGCAAGTCTTGAGAACCATGATCAGTGCGTTCAAACGGGAGAAAACCTGTGCGAGGGGGCGCCCGGCAAACTGCTGCGTATTGAGACCTTTGTTGTCGGTAGCCAGATTGGTTGTCTGGTATGGATCAGACTAGCGCATTGTCAGCCAGATCTTGTACAAAACAAAGCTTGGACTTGAAGAAGCTCGTCTTACCTTGAGGTCAAAGAACTCGGTCTCATTAGTGCACCACACGGAGTAGTAGAGGTTGTACTCTGGCGAAGAGATTCTTAGCCCTTTATACGTATTGTTCACGTAGGCATTTTGGATAACACCGGCCTCTCTGTTGCCATCGCTTCGCATGCCATAATGGCCCTCCGGAACGGCCTGAGCAACCACTAAACTTAGTTTAACGCCGAGCCAAAACATTGGAGTCACTTACGGCGCCCCAGTATTCTATAGTAGCATGCTCATGTCGTTTAGAATCAAGAGATGCAGTGCCCAACGGCATGGCGACCCCATCAAGGTCGCTTTGTTCAACACCAGCAATCCTGAGCAGTGTTGAGCTCACGTCCGTATGGGTGGTAACGGCATCTAGCACAGATCCTTCATCAATACCGGGCCCCCGGACGAAGAATGGAATATGAATATCCGTGTCTGCAACCACGATTAGCTTAGTCGGATGGTTTGCCCTGGAATTGTCTCTCACCATATCCGCATTCTTTTCCAGGGTGCAGTCCATGTTGACTGATGTGATACCCGTTGTCCGATGTGTAAAAGATGTAGGTGTTTTCCAGCTGGCCAGATCTCTCCAATTTTTCTACCAACCCGTGCACCATCTCATCCACAGCCTGCAATGCTCGAAGTCTTTGCCGCTGGTAGTGGTCGTTGTACTCAAGTACGGTATCATTCAGTGGAGAAAGAGACGAGTGCCAACTGACACCTCCCTGGATCGGTGCATTGAAGCTCTTATCTCGTGGGATCTGATAGTCCTCGAAAAGATGCTGATGCCGTGGCGCCACTTTAGGCTCCTCGAGGTAAGAGAGATCATTCTCGATATCAATTACCCAGTTGGAATGAGGCGCGATGGGAGCGACGGTTAGGAAAAATGGATTCTCAAGATTCAAAGCCTCATCTAGCCAAGCACCGGCTTTTTGAGAAACCACATCTGTTGAGTATTGCCCGGCGTAGCTTACCGGTGCCTGTCCGTTGTGCGACATCTTTGCATTCCAATACTGGTAGGTATAGGGATCCAATAGGAAGTCGGATCCGTTGAACCCTTTGGCGTATGGCTGGTCGAAATTATCTACGGAGTGGAAGTTCCACAGCTTCCCCACGTAGTATGTGTTGAAGCCAGCTTCTTGCATCCATAGGAATAGGTTATCATCATTGATCCCCTGTTGGACAACCTTTGGATATCCTCCATGAGGAGGCGACACATTGGTCACATTGTGGTTGTGAGCCGCTTTGCCTGTCCAGAGTGTGGCACGAGACGGACAGCATAACGCTACTGTGCAATAATGCTGGCTGTAGGTGGCGCCTTTGTCGACAACATGCTCCTATTCGAAGTGTTCAGACTTATTCTTCACTTAGATAGGGGGTCTGGTTAGCTACCTTACCTTGAGATATGACATATGTTGAACACTTTCCATATGTAGATCCTGGTCATCTACCAAGACGAAGAGGATGTTTGGGCGGCGGCATAGTGCCAATTGTGCGTAGAGCAAAGCTGAAAGCCAGCGAGCCATCTTCTCCTGGTCTTTGTCGAAATACGTCGAATACTGATAAGCGAAGGCTTCCGTCTTCAACCTGCACACCCTCGGCAGTTATCCTCTCGCAAAACGAACATAATTTTAAGAAGCTAAAGCGTGTCGACCAGTGCCCGAAATTGGTACCCATATGGGTGGGTTTCCGATGGCCGACGACACGAAGTCCGATGAGGCCGAAGCTGCCGATGAGCGAAGAAGACACCGAAACCTCCTTGTTCAATGGATATGCAGTAAAAATACGGAATATAGCCACATTATCACGCAATCGATGAAAATACGTATTGGTAACGTAGACTCAATCCAGTGACGCTTCCCTGGTCCTGTGCTGGGGTCCCGACCCAATACGAAACAGCTCGTGCTCGGCTATTCTCACTAACAGCCACTATTACCCCAATTCCTTCTTGTGTGTAGAGTCGAAAAACTGTCCAGGCAGAAGAATCAGTCCATCAAAAATGAGAGCACAGAAACCAGATGCGATGCCCAACGCCGAGGTGGACGAGAGAGCACCACTGCTTACCCAGGAGAGAGCCGGATGTAAGTTGAATATTCATGAGAAAGATTCAGGCCTAGTTCTCATGTAGTGAAGTGCCAGAATCTGAAGCGAATACGCTTGATGAGAACGAAGTGTCAAATGGAGCATTCTGGCTGGTCTTGTCCATTCTGTTGGCGGGTGCGTTGCAAATCTATTCTTCCTTACGCTAATTACACAGCTGACACTGATCCAAATAGGAATATTTCTTTCCAATGTCGTCTCTTCAGTTGTAATAGCAACCACCCAGAATATCGCATCTGAGTTTGATGCCTTGTCGTCTGCGGCGTGGCTGTTGACAACTTACACGCTGGCTCAATCTGCAAGCCAGCCATTGGTATGAACCGCCAACTCCTGTGATATCCACCCGTCCCTAACGAAGCACCCTACAGTACGGAAAACTTTGTGACATATACGGACGTAGGAACTGTCTTGTTTTCTGCTGGATCGTTTTCGGTCTGGGTTGCCTTCTTGTGTAGGTCATCATGGTCAATGCCCATCTAGAGTTGAAAGTTAATCCATTTCACAGTGCTTTAGGTCACAGCTATTGGCACGTCATACTAGGACGTGCTATCAGTGGTGTCGGAAGTGCAGGCAAGATTGTACTGACATCTATTATTGTCGCTGGTAAAGACCAAATGCCCAATGCTGCAACGCACTTGCGCTAACCTGACAATAGATCTCGTTCCCCTGAGACAAGTAGCGCATTACCGAGCCTATGTGAACTTGACTGCTACGAGTGCAAGATCGATCGGGGGTCCAATCGGCGGATTGCTCGCTGGTACTGTTGGCTGGCGCTGGTGAGTGAATGAAGAGGGCTTACCCTTTCCCTGCTCTCCATGCTGATGGCCTTTTAGGTGCTTCCTGGTACAACTCCCTGTAGCTTTGATTGGTCTTGCTCTTGTACTTTGGAAGTTACCAGAGCCGAAACGAGCAGAGGGAAAGCTCATCACCATAGACGGAAATGGGCCGCAGCGAACAAAACTTTCGAGGGTTGACTTTGCTGGCACTTTCACCTTGATTGGAACCCTGCTCACAGGTCTTCTTGCACTTGATATTTTCACGAAGGGAGGACCTCGATTGCTGGTAACGAGTTTAGCAATTGCATTCCCGATCTTTGCAATGGCATTCACAGTTGTTGAGAAGTATTATGCCAAAGAACCAATTTTACCGCTACAGTTAATCGGCAAAAGGGATGTTCTGACCTCCTATACGATCATCGGATTTCAATCAGCCGGCCAATTTGGAGTGAGTGCCGCATTATCAGTCATAGTGACCTTGACTAATTGCTCCATATAGCTCCTCTACGCAATCCCTATCTACTTCCAGGTCGTAGGAGGTGAATCAGTCTCAACTTCTGGCCTCCGCATTGCCCCTGTCGTTATTGGCAATGCGCTGGGAACAGTCTTGAGTGGAAAGCTGATCACTCGCTTCAAAAGGTACAAAACTCTCACTGCGGTGGGGAATACGATTGGTTTTCTTGGCTTCCTTCTTTTATTTGTCACATGGCGCGGCAGCACCAGCTGGTACACTTCCCTGTTGGTGGCCTTGCCTGGCGCAGGAATGGGAATTCTCCAGTCAACCACGTTCTTGCACCTCGCCGCAAGTTTGGATCCGTCGGATATCGCAATAGCAGGATCGGCTTGGTTTTTAGCACAGAACGTCGGCATCTTGTTGGGGGCCAGCATGTCCACCACTGTGATCAACAGCGTCGTTCAGAATTACCTGCAAGTGTCTTTGGAAGGCCTCGATGCAAAGGAAGAAGTAATTGCCGTCAATATCCCTAAGTAAAGACAAGAGCCACTGACATCCCATAGATCATTCGGAAAGTTACTTCTAATGTTGACAATATACGGCATTTTTCTCAACCGATTCAGAAAGTTGTGAAGGAGGCATACGTTCACGGGCTGTGTAGCTCAAATGGTGAGTTATTTGGCTAATGATCCGCTTGAACTAATAGTATGTTGACTGTAGATAGTGATTTCTCTCATTATGGTCAGCATTTCCTTATGTATTACAATGTCGATGAGAGAAAAAAGACTTTAAGCGCCGAGTTGTGCTTGACGGGTAGTGGTGGATGATGGTTATAGGGTAGGCAAAATAGCAGAAGGCATATGGAGTGAGAGATCACGACGGGTGGACAGGGGGAGGTACTACGCTTGATGAGAAAGCAATTGTGTCTTGTAGATCATGCTAAAATAGACTCTGAATCTATTGATGATAAATTGAACACGGGACAATAGATTTCTGTGTGATGATTTGAAGATGAAGAAGAATGGCGATGGTGCAGCCAACCAGAGAAGCAGTTGAGCACGCAATTTGGGTGGATCCAACCCACATCTCAGAAAGCCAGTGACAAGACGATTCAACCAAACCGCGACAACATCAACTGTTCAGCAGCGAGGATCTACCTGGGCTTTGTTCATCACCATTGAAATGGAGATGGCTTCGGTGCACAAGCAGGCTCATTCAAGAGCCAAGGCCTGTCTCCGCTGCCACCGGCGAAAGCAGCGATGCGTCGGCTTCCCCGCGTGCAACAATTGCCGAGCTGCAAATCTGGCTTGTAGCCGCGATTCAACCCCTAATATGCGTCGACTGGCTGGACTGTCGAAGGAGGACCTGCTGAAGAAAGTTGAGGCACTCGAGGAACAGTTGGCAGCCACAGAAACGGGGCGGCACGATCAGGGTTGGGAAGAGCCTTCATTGGCAAGGCGTCAGTCTACCTTTTCCGCCGAAGCCGATCGAGATGTGCCACAGTCACTTTTGACAGACACACCAAGTGACCGAAGGACAGAGAGAGATACGGAATTCCCTTCAGTATTCTCCCCTACTCCTCCAGGACCGGTGTCGCTATGCCCGTCTCTGGAAACAGCAGAGGCCCCGCGCCATCTTCCATATCAGGCACAAGGCACACCAAATGAGATATCTCGCTCATCAACATATGTCACCGAAGAAGAAGGGCTCCCGCTACTGGAGACATATTTGGAGAGCCTTCATAGGAGGATACCTTTTTGCGATTACACAGAACTCCTTACGACTCTTAAGACCCAGCCATCTCTGCCTGCTTCTGGCATGGGACTGTATCGTCTCTACATGGCGTGCACAATTGGTGCCACAATCAAAGCACTCACGGGCACTTCTCGATCTTTGAATCCCGACAGATACCTGCAGAGAGCTTTGAAGTTGAAGGAAACCTTAGACGAAAGCGATCTGATTGAGCAAACGGAAGCTGTGTTTTGGATGGTTCTGTACAAGCTTCGATTTTCCTTCTCATCAAGCGTGTGGTATCTCATCGGCCTCGCTGTGAGGACTGCTGTGGATGCCGACCTTCACCGTGAGTACCACTATCAAGAGCTTAGTCCACCGGAAGCAGAACGACAACGTCGGTTGTTCTGGTCAGTTTACACAATCGAGAGAAACATTTGCTGGTCACTGCAACGACCGTTCAGCTTATCCGACCAAGATATCGATGCTCAGACACCTTCAATGGGCAGCATCTTTGAATGCATCCAAGCTTGCAGCGGGCAACATGAACAGTGTCCTCATTTAGGCGGTGACGATGGCCCAACGAGGCCGTTGGACCTCAGAGTGTTTATTGCTAGTATCGAGCTTGCACGATTCAAATCAAAATCTCACAGCGAGCTGTTTCGGGTGGACCAACCAATCGCACACAGTCAGCACCTTCCAGCGCTTCTGCAAAGAATACACGAATTTGAGGCATCACTACCGGAATGCAACGGTCAGGATCGAGAATTTCTACAACTGCATGTCCAAAACGCAATTAGAGTTCTCATCGAACCCTATTTGTACAAGATGGACCCCTCAGATCCCATGTTACAGACATGCTTGGAAGCTTGTGGAGGGCTTTGCCAGATTTTCAAAAGAATGAGACAAGGGAGAGAGCTCGGGTACTCTTTCACCATGGTAAACTCTGTCTTTGTGGCTGGGACAACTATATGGTAAACTCTTTTTGTTCCAAACCTACTCCCTGCTGGCGCACAAAGCTGACACGACACTGTAGTTTCATTGTGTTCAGAAACCCGAACCTATGGACGCCAGCCACTGCCAATAACCTGCGGGCGTGCTCATCAACACTCTTCGCCGCCGCTGAGAGGAACAATTCACTGAAGAAGTATTGTGACGTCCTGGAGACTATCATCGAGACAGTTATGGATCACGTCGCCCAGGCTACCAGCCCACATGCGACAGCCGACGACGCGGCAACCTCATCTCTCAAAGGCGCAAGTACACAGGCGGCCTTTGATAAACTGAAGCGTACATTCAAGGAGATGAAGTTTGAATTCCCATCGCATTCATACCCCCGCTATGCAGTCGGGTCGACCAATGTACAGATGGGCGCATTGGCATCCCCGCGGTCAGCGATTGAGCATTCCGAGGAATTACTTAGCCGTGAGACCCCCGGTATTGCACAGTGGACCTCACCCGGCATGATGAATGAACCCCAGGATGTTGCTTCCATGGGTTTTCTCTTCTACGGAGAGGGCCTTGGACAGCCTGGTTTCGACCATATACTCATGCCTTAGGAACGAGTTTAACAGCCCAATTTAATGTCTTTGGCCCAGGAGGCACTGTGAGGTACTGACTGGCTTATATTGCGTGATTGACTAGTGAGTTGACGCAATCGAGGAATTGCCCCTTATTAGCGGTCGGCCATCGGAAAACCCACCGCCACGACATGTCCGATCGCCGAAACAACTGCATCAACGGACCGGAAGCCACAAGTTACACCTCGTTTGTGCCTACCATGAAGGATTGCGCAATTGAAGGCTTGCGATGGGTGGCATCGCTCGCATCGTTTATAGATACTTGGCCGGAACCTGACTCTGGAATGACGATCAGTTCAGAACAGCAGCAGTCCACACCACGACGGATTGGTGAACCTCACTTGGAGAGCTAGGATTTAAGAAACAACTATCCCACTAGGCTATTGTCTTGGTCCACTATATCTAAGATATGGCTTCGATACTCCAGAGTCCTGTCTATGATGGGGAATCTAGCGAGAAAGGCAGTGGCCTGTATGACCAGAAGGCGGTCATAGAAACAGCCCCCAATGAACAGAGGATTGTGGCGGATTGGTCACCAGAGGAAGAGACAACGCTTCGACGAAAGTAAGTACTTAAGAACCCACTTGAAAGCCGGTCACTGACAAGCATAGGCTGGACTTCATACTTCTTCCGATCCTTATGCTCGGCCTCTTCGCCCTTCAGCTAGACAAGGGCAATGTGTCATACGCCTTGACAACGTCCTTCACCAAAGACCTTGGAATGGACAACGACAACGTCAACTATGGCAACCAGCTGATGCTTGCCGCCATTGTTATCTTTGAGATCCCTTTCAACATGGTCTTATCTCGGACAGGCCCGGCAAAATGGCTCACGATACAAGTCTTTGCATGGAGTATCATTGCCACCGCCCAAGCAGCGATCCACAATCTGTCTGGGTTCTATGCGACCAGATTCATGCTGGGCATGTGGGAGGCTGGCTACCTCGCGGCATCACTGACGATTTTGAACTCCTTCTACACCCGTAAAGAAATGGCCATGCGGGTGACGCTTGTCTACATTGGAAATTATTTCTCTGCCGGGCTCGGAGGGTTGATTGCAGCCGCCATTTTCCACATCCCAGAATCAACGGGCCTGAAGCAGTGGCAGGTTAGTTCCATCTATACCTACATGAACCTTCCATATCTATGAAGCAGATAGCTAACAATGTTGTAGTGGCTCTTTATCATTGATGGGGTCTTTTCTCTTGCCGTTGGAGTGTTTTTCATCCTCTTCATGCCTCGCTCGCAGAAGAACACTCTCCCTCTATGCGGAGTGAAAGGATTCAACTTCTTCACGGATAAAGATCGTCATATTCTCAACAACCGCGTTCTCCTAGACGACCCTCGAAAGGTCGTCGAGCTATCAAGCATCGGCTTGAAGACGGTTGCTCGTATTCTGCTGACAAACTTCCCCATATGGGGTCATTTCGCCATCAATGTCATATCTCTGACGCCCAAAGGAGGATTAGGCGTATATGCACCTACTATCATTAAGAATCTCGGCTTCGACTCAATTACAGCCAGCAATTTATCCGCCGTTAGCAACTTCGGGGTGTGTATCTTCGCAATCCTCGTCGCGTGGATCAGCGACAAGACATCTTCCAGAGGACCTCTCTGCCTACTCTGCGGCGTCTACAATCTCATTTTCTCCGGGGTGCAGTATGCCATCGTCCGCCGCCAGGACGTCTGGCTCAAGTACGCCATCCTCACCGTCTTTACCTCAGGCACGGCGGTATCGCAGAGCATTAACGACACCTGGTTCAGCGTCAACACTGCTGACCCACAGGTTCGGTGTCTCGGACTTGCATTGGCGGTTGCGGGTTCTAATTTAGGCGGGCTCTCTGGTCAAAACATCTTCGTCAAGGATGATGCCCCGTACTACTATCACGGGTTCCTGAAGATTCTTTGTATCTATGCGGGTAGCATTGTACTTATTGCCGGAATGATTGCTTATTACATGTACATAAATAAGCTGTTGGCTAGGAACACGCAGGATGGTGAGGTTGTGACAAGCGAGGGAGTGAAGGCTGTCGGGGGCGAGATTCAGTCCGCTGCCAGCAAAGTCAAGAATCAGCTTTAGTTGGAAGGAAGTAGATGGTAGGGACAAAAATATGCAGTGCTCTGGCTGTAATGCGATAATTAACTCTCGATGCGTTGCCTTGCGAGAACTTGGAGAATATTTTTGCAAGCGACAGACTCGTCATTCCGATGCAGCCGGACACGATAAGGCCTTCTTAGTGACATCTTAGATAGGCTGAGCGTACGCTAAAGCCTCTTTACGCTTTGTTGTGCTTTATGCCGTATTATCCGGGGATGTCTGGCTATTGTAACCGCGAAGACTTAAGCTATGCAACGAAGACCAGGTTTCGGGTTCGGCATCGGTTTCGCCCAAAATCCAATCACTGAGAGGAATGCACGAAACCGAGAGTGAGCCGCAGCCAGACTCTGATCGGCTAGCAGCCATGAAATAAACTGACGACATGGCTTATCCTCAATTCATTACTGGAGCGGCATATTCCTTACAACCCACGTTGATAACATCCAGACCAAGCAAGCCAAACGCCAGCAAAAGTGCGAGTTTTACGAGGATTATGGCTGAGATTGCGAAAAACACGAGATCATGCTTTTCGTTATTTGTTGCTTGATGACGACTGCGTGCCGCGTAGGCCTATGTCTGAATAGCTGGACCAACTATAAATGAGTGGCTCGCTCGCCTTTTGGATTTCGTTGTTTGATATGATATTTAAACCGCACACTTTACTACACTCTTACAAGCACTGAATCAGCCAGCATGGCAGTCCTGGAGACATACAATGGGTATCCGCTGTGGAGGTATATCCCTTCATTACCGCCAGCAATTGTTTTCGTCGCCCTCTTTACCATTTTGACGGTCGCCCATGGATGGAAGATGATACGCCATTCCATGTGGTTCTGTATCCCCTTTTTCGTTGGTGGCTTCTGTAGGTCTTTCCATTCGACCCGACATGATTTATATTCGGATACTGATTGCAATCTCACTACTAGTCGAGATCGTTGGCTATGTAGGCCGAGCCGTGGCTCACAATGCCACTGGAGAATTAATCCCATACGTTCTCCAGTCGACTTTCCTGCTCTTGGCACCGATTCTGTTTGCCGCCTCTCTTTATATGACATTGAGCAGAGTAATTCGGGCGGTTGATGGCGTCCATTGCTCCATCATTGCTCCCCGGTGGCTGACAGTCATCTTTGTCACGGGCGATTGCATTAGCTTCATCGTCCAGGCCTCCGGCGCGGGATTACGAATCATGGCTGGGCAGGGGAAACGCAATATCAATCCTCACCTGGGTTCTTGGATCATCGTGGGTGGCTTGGTCTTCCAGATCATTGTATTTGGAGTCTTCATCTTCACCGGCTTACGCTTCAACTTGCTGTTTAAAAACGATCCTGCGGCGATACGTACCGGAAGAATGCCGTGGCAAGGCATTATGTACATGTTGTTCATGACTTCGGCTGCCGTTATGATGCGAAACATCTTTCGTGTGGTTGAGTACGCGATGGGCCCTGATGGGTTTCTTTTCACCATTGAATGGGGCGTCTATGCTTTTGATGCATCGCTGATGACAATAACGATGGCCCTTTTCTGGCTGTGGTACCCTTCTCAACTGAAGCCTTTCACAAATAATGGCAGCTTTGAGATGGGAACCAGCCCAGGCGTGAGCCGTGTAGCAAACACAAAGCCCGCGGACGCAGGCACAGACGGATCTAATTGATGGATTCAAGACGCACGACAAAGGAAATTGGTGGTAGTCTTGAGCTGATCTACTGGATAGCATGTCACTACTGAGTGATCAAACTCATGGGCAGAGGGATTAATTGTTCGCAAAGTTCGGATTACTCGGCAAAACACGAGGAAAGGGGAAATGGTACATGTTAGGTGGAGTGACAGGATTGACAGTACCCTAGTACACTTCACTTTTGAGTCATAATGTTACATGCCTTAGTATATCATTTGATAATTAATTTAGAGTGGGATTATTAGAGTGCTTATAGCTCTGAGCTAGATTTGCAATGCCCTTTGTTTTCATTAGGTGAAAATCCGAAAGATGAAACAGCAATTGAGAAGCCCATTAAGGAGGATCCGAAGTGAAATCTATTATTGTCACCAGATAACCCATTTTTAAAGCGTCTCTATAGTTTTTCTTTTTGCTAATTCCTCTTATAGAAATTCAGTTTGGTAAATGGAACTGACCAAAGATCTGTCTATGAGATAAAATGATAAAACAACCTTTCTGAGGCACCGGTATTCAATGAGTCATTAATACGTGATTTGAATGTCATAAACATCATATATAGAAGCCAAAGCCTAAAATCTTAGCCCCAAAGTGAATGAACTTGGCGTTATTTCCTCAGAGGCTGGTGCCGGTTAATGCTTTGACCTTGCTGAGAAAGAACTTCTGTCACGGCATTGCATTTTGAGATGCCACTCACTGTTATCTACACGACTTTTGACTTTTAGACCCTACTCATGTTACCGATGAGTACATACTCGATTCCTCCAGAATTATCAAGCGCCTCGTGCTCATGATATTTGTCCTGGCCATGGCCAATTCGCCATCAAAGCTGGCGCGACAAGCGTCGCTCCCAACCCGAACGCCATGGAAGGATATTGGTTTTTTCCCCTCCAGGTTTTTGACATCACACTTCAAGGGTCTCTCCCTGATTGAAGCTTAATGAATATGACCCCCATTGCATTAGTCTAGACAATTACCTGCAGGCATATGTGGGTGCGCAAGTAAATCCCCTGAACCCGTAGGCAATGAGGTTGACGTGGCACAAGATTGTGTTTCCAGCCCAGAACGTGCTGCAAAGTACTATATGGCTAGCACGGTTCACCTGTCAAGTAGGTGGTAGATGCTTAGTTGATCTTCATGGATCATTCAGAGGGCACTTGTTCAATGGAGTTCAGGTGCGCCATTTCCTCTGCCACCCACTTGCTACACTCCCGGTCTCTTCGGTCACAGATGGCCTCCGTCTGCTGGTTGACTTAACCCCACATTCGGATGCATTGGAGTGAGGTCGTGTTCATTGTCCGACACCCATGCAATATGAAGTTAAGCATGTTGGTCGTAAGTCCCCTGCAGTAAGACCTGATTTTTCTTCATTTGGCTAGTTTGACTCCTCCTGTTTTATTTAGCGAGTTCTGGGCTGAACAACGCTCCCCCTTATTTTATTGTTTGTTGGTGACACCATGCTGCAGGCTAAGAAGATGGGGCACAGCTCCGGACCAACGCTGCCTTGGCCCCGTGAATCACAGTCCTCACAATGCTCCCCACTGTTGTGCGTGCAGCAAGATTGAAGACGCGCTAGTGGTTACCAGGGAACTCACCGTGTTCAGTTAGGGATGCTATCAGGTGAGAGATATCCTGCGTTGATTGTCTTGGGTTGGACCTGCAGTGAAGTGGTGTGTTGTTGATCTGTTGGTGCCAACCTGAGTCAGCACCATCAGCCGAAACAATGCCTCATGCTTCCAATTTGGGTATCATGGGCCATAAAAAAGGTGCTAGGCTTCAGCTCATCTGCAGGAGAAGGGGCCAGACGCAACATTATCCCATTTTATTGGCCCATATCACAAGTTGTTGGAGGGGAAGTCAACCGAGGACGCAACGAGGTGGGCCCTGTTGGCAGTTCCTCGCATGTCTGAATCACAGTAATTGGTCTGTGTAAACGGCTGTTGGTTGGGAACTACACCAAGGGCGCAGAATTCATCCCATGAGACTTATTGTCATGTATGGTCGAGCCAACACATTCAATGTAGCAGTCACTGAAGCACCACTATTGGTTTACATCGCTGCTTCATGGAAACGAAAATGTGGCCACATCTTACGAGGCTTTTTCCCAACGAAAGTGAAGACCCGGTGGGCTGTTCCGTTGATGCAACCTGTGTGCTCTTCGTGTCTTAGTCTTCATTTTATTCCGCTATAAATTGGGTAGAATTCTGTTTCTCCCGGACTTCACACTCAAGCTTTGACAGTTTGTGTCATTTCCCCTTATCCCATCCGTATTCATTCCCACGTTGTTTGGCAAATCTATTGCAGTCATGGCACCAAGGGAGCACCACCCCCAGGCCTTGATGGCGCGCTTCTGGAAGAAGTTCCACCACAGAACGCCGGGCAAAGTCACATCCATTTTCCCCAGCAGCATGTACGATGCCTTCCACGATGACTCTATCCCCGCCTCGGCTCGCGTGCGCAACGCGGCCGGGAGCTACGATGAGGCCCGTGCCGAGTGCGCGGCCATGGTCCAGGAGATCGTAGAGCACTGCGAGGCCACCAACACCAGCTTCCTTGACAAGGAGTTTGAGCTTGAGCATGACTACTACATGGAGATCGACGATTGTCTCCGCGGCCTCATCAGAAAAGGGGAGCAAAGCAGCCGTCCTGGTGGCGTTCACCGTGTTCCCTGGATCTATGAGAACCCTCGGTTCAATGTCGACGGCTTCTCTGGCTCGGACATTGCCCAGGGTGCTCTTGGGGACTGTTGGTGGCTCGCGGGACTTGGTACGATCGCTCACCGTAAGGACTTGATGGACAAGATCTGCGTCGCCCGTAATGAGGAGTGTGGTGTTTACGGTTTCGTGTTCTTTAGGGACGGAGAATGGGTCCCTACTGTTATTGATGATAACCTCTATTTATCAAGTGGTGACTGGACCAAAGCTGGCAATGGCACTGATGCCACGGGCAGCAAAGCCAGGGCGTGGAAGAAGAGCCAACAAACGGGCTCGGGGGCTCTTTATATGGCCTCGTGCAAGGATGAGAACGAAACATGGCTACCATTGCTTGAGAAAGCCGTAAGTAATACCTGCCACTATTTAACCAGTGCAACCAAGCTGATGATTTCATCTTCCTCTCATACAGTATGCAAAGGCGCATGGCGACTATGAGGCCCTTGAGGGCGGCTGGATTGGAGCGGGTGTCGAAGACATGACTGGAGGTGTCTCAAGCGTCGTTCTGACGAGCCGTGTTTTGCGGAAAGACAAGCTGTGGCACGAGCTACGTCAAGTCGGCCAAGATGACGGCCAGTTCGTGTATGGACTCGCTGCATCGTTTGGTGTTGGCACCGGAGAGCGGAATGGTCTGATGCTGAACCATGCCTACTCCGTTATTAAGGCGGTTGAAATTGAAGATGCAACCGGGCGAAAGGTCAAGCTTCTACAAATTAGGTGGGACTTCTTCTTTTGATCGTCTTTCCCCTCTCCCGCTCTTGCATTTCGTTCTCGGCTAACTTTGGTCTAAAACAGAAACCCTTGGGGTCAGAACGCAACTACTGGCTTGGGAGAATGGCATGGCCCGTGGTCAGATGGATCCAAGGAGTGGACTCCCGAAACCATGAAGAAGCTCAACCATGAGTTTGGTGATGACGGCGTGTTCTGGATGACCTTGGACGATGTACTGCACAACTTCCAATGGCTCAACCGAACACGCCTGTTCAACGATCATTGGACCGTCGCGCAACAGTGGACCAGTCTTCCCATCAGCTGGATCCCTGGGTACCTTAATACTAAGTTTGTCATTCAGGTTGAGAAGCCTGGCCTTGCTGTCATTGTTTTATCCAAGGTTGGTGCAATCCGGTGCAATTACAGTTTAAACGGATCTAACGATCGATTTTCAGCCCGATGAACGATACTACGACGGTCTCGAAGGCCAGTACAGATTCTATCTAGAGTTCATGGTCCGTTCCGACGAGTCCGACAAAAAGATTGCCGAGGCCACGTACAACGCCTACGAGGGTGAGAACCGCTCCGTGAGCTGCGAGGTCTATCTCCAGCCCGGAACATACAGCGTCATCCCCAAGGTGCTTGCAAAGCGATGCAGCTGGAAGTACGAGCTGAGGGACGTTGTCAAGTCATGCGCGCTCTCCAGGCCCCTCAAGCTCCAGCAAAAGGCCAAGTTCTACGACACAGCGCATGCAAAGCCTGGAGTGAAGGACGAGGACGAAGAGCTTGCGGTCAAGAAGTGGGAGGAGAAGCAGCGAAAGAAGGAGCTGAAGAAGAAAGCGGAGCAGGAAAACAGCATGCAGCTAGAGTTGATTCAGTTGCGTTCATATATTTCCGCTTTGCACGAGGAAATGGAGAGGCGCGAGAAGGCCAAGGTCGAAGAACAAAACAAGCAAAAGGCCAAGGTCAATGAGAACCAGAAGCAAAGAAAGAAGTCACGCGGAAAGAGTAAGCCTGCTGCAGAGGAGAACAGCAAGGGCCAGCGCGGGGGACAACAAGCAGAAGCAGAAGGGGAAGCAGCTGAAGAAGAAGACGACGCACCGGAGGGAGAAGAAAAGCAGGAAGAAGAGGAAGAGCAGGTAGAGGAAGAGGAAGAAGGAGAAGTGGAAGAGGAAGATGATGACGATGACGACTCTGAATCTGACGACGATGATGACGATTACGATGATTCAAAAGACAGATATCTCTGGAATCCAGTTTGCGTCATGGGTCTTCGCGTCTACTCCGAAGATGACCAGATCGAAATCAAGCTCGTAGAAGGCGATGAGCAGGAGGAAGAAGAGGAGGAGGCTGAAGGTGAAGAAGGGGAGGAGGGAGAGGAGGGAGAGGAGGAAGAAGAAGAAGAGTAGATAAATTGGCTAGAGTGTGCTGCAATCGCAGTGAGGCCATAGTTCCTGTATTTCATTCAAACCTTACGTACCGATTCGAAATCTGCCATTATATTCATTGCATGAAGAGCCAGTTGTACTTTATGTGAAATAAACTGCCGGGGCAAGATCAAATAGACGGACCTTTCCCGCTCGGTCTACATACCCTTGATATTACATAGAGTTTTCACAGCTACGGAGAAGTGTACCATCAAGCAAGAGACGAGCGATGCAGGTTGCTGAACCAATCATCCTCCGGGGACGAGTGGCGATTTACAGGGCCAAGAGGAAACAATAATAAAATTCAGCTGAACGCCAGAACGACTTATGCCAGCTCCGCTCTATGATTTAGCGGGCCGTCTGAGTCCTCGTTATCGCCGAGGTTTTGATCTGTACAACCCTCCATCTCTGCCAGCCCAGTAGACTCGATTTCCAACACAGCAGTAGAATCAAGCTCAGTATCTATCCAGCCCGCCTCAACCAGTTGGCTCGTACGTTTCTGAGGCGAAGGAACCTTGAGGTTGTCATCTGAGCCTCCGTGGGGGGCATTCATTTCTGCAGGCTGACCTTGGAGCGTTGCTAGGTCAATACCTTGTCGTTCTTCATCTTGGGCTCGACGGCGGCGGAAGAACCAGAAGCCACCAATAGCTAAAAGTATCGAGGTAACTCCCCCAATGACTCCGCCAACTATAGGACCAAGAGGAGCGCTATCGTGTTTGCTGTTGTGATTGCTGTCATTGCTATTACTTGGAGCTGCATTCAATGTCAGTCATACGCCTTTTCAAATAACAGGCGTAGTTCACATACCATCGATAAAAAGGTCTCTGATACTATCGTCATAAAACCCATATGCGTCAACGTTACTGTGAGAGTAACTGTTAGTAGCTTCACAACCCGAATACAATTTTTGGGCACAACCTTACTTTTTCTGGTACCACTTTTTGACATCATTCGGGCTGTCATAATCTCCTTTGCTAGGATCAAAGTCCTCTGTCCATTTCATCTCGACCATGTCGAAAACCCCTATGGCTTTGAAAAACGGATCATTTTCCTCCCATTTGTCAGGGTTGTCCTTAGAGGTCCCCCCAATGGTAATCATGTATCTGCCAACAGCTGCGCAGGCAAGATGAACCCGCGGAAAGGTGGTTGAAGTAACATCGGCTTTGAAGTATCTGAATGCAGGGAGAGATAAGATCCAGACGTCTTCGTAAACGGTGTTACGTTTATCACCCTTTATGGTACCGCCATATATAAAACTGGGATAATTTCAAATCAGCTCCTAACATGTTCGGGAGTAGAGATCCGAAGTCAAGCAATGAGGATGGGAAGGCAATCAAGAGATATCATTTAAACCTACATTTCATAGGTGCCATTTTTGCCCTGGGCACCAACTGCACAAAAAGAAAAGCGCTTCCCGGGAATACTGTCTCCTGCTCCTGTGGCTCTCTGCTGGGAATGCCACTTTGGTGAAGCAGGACTTGCATCGTACACTATGGGTTCTCCCAAATCTCGCGCATTGCTTCGGTGTGTCCCGTCGAATCCGCCGAGGACTATGACAAGAGGTCGCTTGAATGCTGTCACGCAAACAGCTTTGCCTGCCCAGATATTTTCGTCATGCAATGTCACTGCGGTGGGAGACGTCGTATTGGATAAGTCACCAGTGTCCATGTTATACGTTACCACGCCCGGAGTTGTCATTTCATCTTGCCTATAATCCCCTGTCGAGTTGGACGAGAAACCGCCAATGTAGAATCCCCGGCCATCGCAGAATGTCGATGCTCCAAAACTGCTGAATTTGATCTCCCCTGATGATACGGACTGCGGCAGCGATTTAGATGTCCAGTGTCCGCCTCCCTTTCCGTCCGTCTCGAGGACATGCAGCTTCGTCTCGTGGCCCATTTCAAACTTCTCTTTTCGATGTAGCTCGCCTCCCCATCTGTACACTGACTTTGTTCTCTCGTTCGCCCATAGTCCTGCTAACATAACGGAACGCATTCCATCAGGGTATGGAATCTCAGTGAGTTTGACATCTTTCGTTGTCCATTTCGTGTTTATCGGCATCGATAGTGTTTTGTTTACTTTTTTATTATCCACGTGAGTAAAGATTCCACAAAATGTATCGGAAGGAGGCTTACGTTCCAGTGCGTCGTCCTGCAGAAATTGTTGTTTTCCATCGACCCAAGTTGACACTTGCCCGCCTTCAATGTACAGATGATCGCCCAATACGGCAACGCTTTGCCCGGACATCCGCTGCTTTGTGCCTATCAGGCCAAACTCGCGGTCTTCATCGGTCTGCCCAAACACCCCCGCCTCGATCACGAGAGCTAGGAGATAATAGCGTCCTAGGAGGACGGATAGCCGTAGGGGCATCATCGCATTGGCCGAGGGCGGGTTATCAGGTTATTATGGGCGCGGATTGTAGGTCGTTAGCATGAACAATTCATGTCAAGGAGAAAGGTAAGAAATAAGAAGTGAAGAGGAGAGGCGTAGGCGTGTACTCGTCTCCTCCTGACTCATATAAACACTGAAGTACTATATGTTGTGAGACAACATAGTCTTGGCTTTCGTAATTACCTCACCTCACTAAGTAGGAATGCCGTCGTTTGCCACCAATACCGGTTTCTAAACGGATTATCCCGCTCACAGTTCTGCATCCTCCACCGGTGAGTGAGGCGAAACTCGTGTTCCCAGTTCGATGTCCGACCAGATTCATTCTCGACGATGATTTAAAATCAGATGATTGTCAAAAAGTGCAGCAGTGTCGAAAAAGGTGGCGGAATGTACGCCACAATACTACAAGAGCACAGCCTGGGCGAACATATGTATGCATAAGATGTCTCAGCTCGCTCAAGCCTCCAGACTGGCTCGAAGGGGCAATGATATTCAACATGTATTCCAAAGTCTAAAAGCTTACGTGGATTAAAGCCATTTTTGGTATTCGGCGTATTTTTATTTCGCCAAATGAATCCGTGATCTGGACCTTTTGATACTATAGGATCTTACGACGTCGCCTTCGGGCCCCTATCCGACATCTATTTACAGCACACTGCATTCTGGACTCTTCTTATGACATTGGCCCCCGAGACTTTCGTGATCACTCTATCTCACACTTGTGCCACAGCCACCAAACTCAAGACAAGGCTCCAATCAATGTCGCCATCTCCCCTTAACCTAGGCTTCCGTTCAGTACGAGTCACAGCACAACTATCTCCTCGAGTAACTCAGAGCTACATGGCAGTAAATGCATTCAATGTGTGATATAGCCAAAAAACATTCCTTTCTGTCATTGGTTCCATTGGCTAAGACATAATTATGGCCTACGAGCCAGCTACCCGACTCTAACTCATTGTCTTTGATATCTAACTCAACCACTCTTGGCTTTCGTCTCCTCCGGTGCATTTATATCCATCTTGACTAAAAGGCCATTGGCAACGAACTGGGCCAGACTTGTTAGAGACTCCGAATTCATGATCTCCAACACACTGACGTCAAGGGAAAGCCTCTGGCGGAACCAGCTGCGCAATTCAATTCCGACCAGCGAGTCAATACCGAAGTTTGCCAAAGGCACCGTCACATCCAATTCGTCCAACGGCTTCATCATGAAGTTGAATAGCGTTGTTCCGATCTGCTGTGCTAGCGCTGTCACGAACTCGGCCTCCTTCAGCAGGTCAGGGTTTCCATCGGCCTCGGCAAGGAGGTTCCGTAAGGCGTCTTGCTCAGAGGAGCCTCCGCTATTGACGCCATCCACGACTTCTTCGATGTTGCGATAAAGTCCCATTCGAGGATCTCGTCGCCAGATAACGCGATTGTTGGGGGATGCGATGGGCTGCGTGGTGCGCAAGCCGAGGCCAATCTGGCTAACACTCACAAAGCCTCTGTCGCCCTTTGCCGTCTCTGTAGGAGGCGCGGATATCATCATGGCGAGTTCGAGGGCATCGAGCAAGTGTCGCTCTCGTAGCACAGCGACTGAAGCAGCACGGAAGTTCTCCATGACGCGAGCGTTGCGACTGACATAGCCAACGTCAGCCATTGCACCAATATCAAGAACCGATGCAGCCAAGCCTTGGCCATGTCTGAACTGAACAAAGGCATCAAGGAATGTATTGGCAGATGCGTAGTTGGCCTGTCCTCTCTGTCCAACTAGTCCAGAGAAAGAGCTGTACAGAACAAAGAAATCGAGTTTGTGATCTTTGAACGCCTCGTGCAGATTCCATGTCCCCTTCACCTTGGGTTCGGCAGCCGCTTGCCAGTCTTCGTGACTCATATCGGCAAACATGCTGTCCTAAGAATTGTTAGTAAATTGAAAGATTAAACTATGCAGGAGACTTACTCTTAGAACCATGGATGCGTTGATGACACCCGCAATTGGAAGCCTTGCCTCCGACTTGACACGTTCGAGATCGTCCAAATTGGTGACGCTGCCCTGAACAAGCTGGACCGTGCAGCCTGCAGCGGCCAATTCCTCTACAAGCAAGGTGATAGTCTCATCAGCTTTCGAAGTTGCCCCTCGAGAGAGGTAAATCAGATTCTTGGCTCCCTTTTCTGCCATCCACGTGGACATGGAACGTCCTAGACCTCCAAGGCCACCAACCAGAAGGTATGACACATCGGGTCTCAGTTTAAATTGGTTTCTTACAGCTGTGACATCCAAGACACTGGGATCCTCGGGCATGCGAACGACCAGCTTACCAATATGCTGGCCCTTGGACATGGTTCGGAACGCTTCCTGTATGTTAACTGCATCAAAAACCGTGACAGGCCGGATTGGGCCGATTAGACCCTGGGTGTAGAAGTCCATGCACCGCTTCAGCAAGGTTCGGATCTTGTTGGGCCGTTCTGCGCAGATGGGAGCGACATGAACTCCAAAGAATGCGCGGTTGTCCTCGAAGGGATCCATCGCAAGTCTTCCTTGGCCGATGAAATCCCTCTTACCAAGCTCAATCATGCTACCAAACTTGGCCACGCAATCCCACTTCAATCAACGGTTAGCTAATATACAGGAAGCAACAAGAGGGAAGTAGACTCACGGAAGCGTGCAAGAGATCTCCTGATAGAGAGTTGAGAACAACATCGACACCTTCGCCGTTGGTTTCACGCATGACTCCGGCATAAAAGCTCGAGTCTCTGGAGTTGAAAATCCGGTTGCGCGGGATGTTGAAGGTATCTTGCAAGTATTGGACTTTTTCGTCATTGCCCACCGTGGCAAAGATTTCCGCACCCAGCATGCGGCAGATCTGGATGGCTGCAATTCCAACACCACCGCAAGCGGAATGAATCAAGACACTCTAGAGGACATTTGGTCAGGAACATGTTGGATAACACAAAGAGTAAATTACTTACCTGGCCAGCTTCGAGTCTTGCCAGATCCTGAAGCCCGTAGACAACAGTTCCATAGACGCACGGCATGCTAGCAGCCTCTTCAAAGCTCAGAGTGTCTGGCATCTTGGTGCAGAGTGCCGCACGCGTCTTCAGGACGGTCGAGTATGAGTTACCGGCAAACACCATCACGCGGTCGCCTACTTTAAGGTCGGATGGAACCTCGGGACCGAGGGCCTCTATGACACCGGAGCATTCGAAACCCAGACCGTTGCCGTCTTCTTTGCTTCCGTCGACAACACCCATGGCAATGAGGATATCCTTGAAGTTCATACCAACAGCACGAACTTGGACAGCAATCTCATCACCTTCAAGCTTGATCTCGGGCCTATCAACCCACTGGAGAGACTTAAGCGAACCTCGTTTACCAATCTCGAGTGCTTTTGGCGTGAGACTCTTGTTTGACTTGGTAGCCAACTCTCCCGGAACGGAAATCCAGTTGAATCGGGGAATGTTTACGCTGCCATTTGAGAACGCATACTCACAGTCTGCGTCGACCTCGTCCGTTTCATTGGATTTCTGCTGCATTCTCTGGTAAAGAGTATAAATGGACTTCATCGCTTCGGGTGAGCTGTGGTCATCGAGCTCAAGTGTAACGAGGTTATTGACTCCCAACTCATTACGAAGGACACGGGTCAGGCCTAAGATTGCTGCATATTGTGGCTCGGTGCTCTGGATCTGGCACGGCTTGGTGAGCCACAGCAAACCGGTTGCTGGCGTCTCCAGCAAGAAAGCCTTCAGATTTGCGTATGTCTCGGCCGAGATGTCCTCAAGAATAGACGAGCCCTCCAGGTCTAGAATAGATATCACACTCTGATGTGGCTTGTCTGACAGGGATACAAACTCTACGGCTAAACCCTGTGATTGCAGGACTTCAGTCAGAGCCTTAGCAACAGGTCCTTCGGGGTCGCGTGAGAGGAGGGACACAGATGTCGCGGTTGGGTGCTCTACGGCAGGCGAAGCGATGATTGTGGCGTTGGTCTGGAATGGCATCTCATCATCAACTATGATGGCGTCTGCTCCTGCGAATCCGGCTTCTGTCAGTTCCTGAGTCCAGCGCTCGAGGCTGACATATGGTTCCTCGGGTCGATTATCGGCATCACCCAGCCACCAACCGGGAAGTACGCCCTATTCACATATTAATCCCAACCGATCCAATTTACAGACTTGTTATAGGGTCAAGGGAAACTTACAACTGCATAATTGACCCACCGCGTGCTCGTGCACAGTTCCTGCATCAACAACTTGCCATCAGGCTTGAGGAGCTGGTTTATATTGGCCAAGGTTTCCTTCAAACATGGAGTCGCGTGAAGAACGTTTGTAGCAACCACCAAATCGTATGAATGCGGTGTAAACCCTTGGCTCTCCGGCGTTTGACTGATATCCAGAGGCCGGAACTCCACCGCCTGAGCATTCTTGAATCTCTCTTTGGCCGCCGGGAAGAAGCCGGCCGAGATATCCGTGTATGTATAAGAGAAATACATTCTCTCTCCGGCATCCGAAATGAGGCCCTGTAAGATGAGCTCGGTGGTAGCACCAGTTCCGGCGCCAATCTCCAAAACACGAAGATGAGGAGTGCGGTGGCGGAGAGAACGGAGGAAGGGAGAATAGTCCCAGGCATCAGCCAGGTTGTAAAGCTTGGTCAAGATTTCATCTTGGCGGAGGATTGCTAGAGAATCAACCTCGCCACTATAGATGCCCTCAATATCGTTAAAGACCCGCCATACGGCAATACCAACAGGCGCTACTTGAGTCTCGCGAAGCTGCTGTGCGTACTCTGAAATGAGGGCTGCTCGTTCGGCCGAAGGCAGCCCGGTCAAAGCTTTCACATCGTCGACAAAAAGGTAGCCATTCGACTCTGCTTCTTCAACCTGCTTTGCAACCCACGTTTGGAACTTTCGCATGTGGTCCAGGGGGCTCGGCGGGAGAGAGGCGAGGCGATCTCG